ACTTTGTTTCACATCCTATATATATATACATATACTCTTTTTTCGGGGGGTAAGAAATGGTTTTATATATTTCCTTGTACCGACGTGTCGTTCGTGAATTATGGCCCCCCCTTTTTTTTCCTCCCGAAATTAATAAAGGGGGGGCATACGAGGAAAAGAAAAAAAAGGATGTGTGATCAATTATGAAAGCAAAACAATATCGGGAAACACTTTTTCCTCCCGACGTGAAATATCCCGTTCATTGTAACTTACATATTTTACAGCTACACGCCGTACCTCGTAATAAAAAGGTCTGGCCCAATTAACGGGGTTGAATGAAAAGGACCGTGGAACCTCATGCGGTACAGCACATCGGCAGAGGAGCCATAGTGGACAGAAAAAATCGTTTGTTAATCGGTCGGTCCTAATGGGCAGGAGGGAGGGAAGGAAGAGGTTGTAGGGGTCTCTGCAGTATTGAAAAAAAGAAAAAAAGAAAAAGTGAGATCGATTACTCGCTTCGAGTTAAATGATCGATTCAAGGAGCCGAGGGACTTTCCCATTTCCATTATTAACTTCGGAGAAGGACGCCGGCCTCCCCCGGACACGGACGAGTCGGCCGAAACGAGCGTCGAACGCTAACGAGAGGGATTTTCCGGGCAACGTTTGATATGATCTCTCCCGGGCGCGTCGTTAGTCCCTTTGGCTTTTAATGCGATCGGCTCGGGATTTGTATCAAGCCGCCTGTATTCCATTCAAATTGACTTACCTTTTTTTTCCACCAGACCTCCCCCCACCCAATCTGCGAACTTTGACTACGGTTTATTCGATTAAACTCGAGCCGAAAGGCAGGAGCTTTTAATTGACAGCCATCCCCCGCACTCCCGCGACGCCCCCTCCCTCGTGCGCTGGCGTTAGATGTGTATACGCTGCCATACTTCGTCGTGTTCATTAGTTGGAATTACATGTTACCCGACTATCTGCTTTTTTTCTTTTTTAATTTTTTTTCTGGCTCAATATATTCGGTTGAATTTTCTCGTTTTTTTTTTTTGTTTTTCCAGCTGCAATTGCGAAATATTACAAATATTCCAGCACTCGATACACCAAAATGAGAATGTAATAACGGCCGGCTTTGTTTCCTCTCTTCGAGCGCAAAATATCCGCTCGCAATTTTATTTCGTTTCGTCAAAAAAGGGGAAAAAAAAAAGTCCCCTCTGTTGCGGAGGCTTTGGTGAAACTGTCGAGAGGGAGAGAAAGAGGCGCGTCAAACAATTTCAATACCAGAGGCATTATCGGTCAATTGAATTTTCATTTCGAAAAATCACGATGGCCCTCCAACGCGTATAACTCAAGCGTATCACGAGCCATGGTATATGTATATATATATACACGGCAAAGCTGCCGAGTACAAGGGAAGGGGGGAAAAAAAATAACCCGCACAGGGAGCGATAGAGCGCGTGGGAAATTGCGCGAGGGTTCTCCGGCCGGAAAATAAATAATAATATCGGATCCCGCGTCGGGAGGGAGAGGAAGAAGGGCCGATAACGCCGAGTGTAAATTACAACAACGACCTGGCCTTTCGGCCGATTTGCATCGGGCCCACGGTCATTCCAGCCGAGCGGGCGCACTTTCACCGCCGTCCGTCGAAAATTAATCAAAACCTTTGACAGGACGCCCATCCTGTCCCTGCGCTTCCTTTTGCTCGAATCCTCGACAACGGAGCACCATATACCCACATGTACATCCCACTCGTCGTCATTCTTTTTTCGGGTTTCCCATCCAGGCGAAACCCGCGCTCGAGTCGAAATATCGCATGTACACCTGGGCATCGGCCTCGTAATTAGCGAGTACACGTGTATATATACCGGCTCTTTTTATCGCTACCCCTGCACCTTTTGTCCCCTGATGTATTTATTACCCCCATTTATCCGCGCGAAAGCGCGTTTTATTTTTTATTCAGATCTCGCGCCCATGGGTTTTTTTGCACCGCATCCTATTATTCTCGGGAAACAAAAAAAAAAACAGCTTTGAATTTACTTTTCAGCGAAACAGAGAGCCCTTTTTATACAAGAAAATGATGATAGCATATACAGCAGCCGATGGAACGCGTGATAACAATAGTACATACATGTACCATAACGATCACGGTCCAGCCATTGTCTATACGTACACACAATATCGGCGACTCCCCCCCCCCTCCCAGGATAGGTATATCAATTCCCGTCTGCCGCGTGTACACGCATACCTACATACCGCCTTTTTCACGTTGCAGCAGCCCCACGAGCTCACGTACCCTTTGATAATCGACACTGCCCTTTGGCGCGTCCGAGTAATCACTCAGCCGCTGTTGCTCGATATGTATGCAAATTGAATAAAACCATATTTCGAAACTCGCGCTTGGGCCCTTTCCCCGAAGCTTGCATGTACACCTATACACCGGAAGTGCGCGCGTTTAACCCCCGTATATACCGACAAAGGGGCTCTCCGGGGTGGATGCGGGAGGGGGTCGCCCGACTGATCGCCGGTGCGCACTGCTGCACGTCAAAGTTTCTATTTTCCGTGGACCGAACGGTACAGGTGTGCATTTGCTTCTGTTGCTATATACACGGGGTGTACGTATACATGTGTGGCTACCCATTTTGCCGGACGTCTCTTGCCTTTGGTCGCGTTTGGGTTCTGCGGCTCTTGATTTCCGAGTACGTGGTTGTGGCGTCGGTGAGCGCTGATTACGTGCCATTTGCAAAGTATCGTAGCCTTACCTACTCGTGTTTCAACCTCAAAATGCAAATTAATTGTCGTCACTGCGATTTACGAAATGTACATGCAAAAATCGAGGGGGTGAAAATTTCACAAAGTTTGCAGTCGTTACCGTGAGCTTTGACATCTGCAATGAAAACGTCGCGACAGAGCAAATCTTTGACAATTACGGAGCGGATGAAGCGTTTTCCGATAACTTTGTTTCACATCCGCTCCCACTGCGGATTTTGCAGCTGAAATTCTTTTTTTTTTCGGAGGCTTATTGGCTTGGAGGGAAATCCGCAATCACGAGCCTTTTTATTTCCAGCTTCTCCAATACGTTCCCTCTCTTGTATATTTTTCAACGGAGCTCGTACGTATAGTCGGGCGCATAAAAAAAGGCCCCATTGTCATCGGATAAACATCTGTCTCTCGCAATTGGCAAGAGTTACCGCGCGTATGTATTCAAAGTATACACATATACAGAGAGAGAGAGAGAGAGAGCCACGTACCGATTGTCAATCGGTTCTTCTTGTGTTTGTTTTCGCAGCCGTGCGATTACACGCGCTTAATTTCAAATATTTACGCGCGGAGCGGGGGGAGACGAGATACGACTTTGATTATTTTCCACTCAGCCGGGATAATGAAACCCGGAACGGAAGCCGGGAGGGTCTGGCTCTCTGTTTGTTTTACCTCGGCGGGAGTGCCGCTGTACACCGGGTGACTCGGAATAATCATAGACATACACCTTTACCAAACTATACATAGATTACGTACAAGCCACTTTTGGGGAACCTGCATGTATTCACGTGGAAATTGAATTTTCAATGAAAAAGCTTACTCGGCGCTGCCGAAGATAATACGGGGCAGATGCGAGATCGGCCGAAGGGGATCGGGGCACAATGACGCATGGAGGACAAAACGGGACAATCGGCCACTGGGATCATGGGAAGAAGGGCCGCAGCGCGCCGTTCCCACTTGGGAGCGCCGCTATCGACTCGAGCCAGCACACGGGACGCGATTTCGGGCTGTTTTGTTCGCATCCGCGCGAGCGCGAAGATAATTACGCCGCTGGGCCAATATACACGCCGATGGGTATAATTAATAATCCCACCCCTTTCCTTTTGTCCGTCGTCCCGAGCGGATTAACTCTATCTCGTCCCGTGGGTTATTCGTGAGTTTGTCGACACCTCCTTCACCGATGAGTCGGTCCATCTAGATTTTAACAGCTCGACTCGAGGAAAAGCGGAGCAACGGAAGGAGTAGGAGGGGGAAAAAAACGCTTGACATCCTCTGATGAGGGCTCGGGGGAAGGTTAGTCGAAAAGTTCTCAGCAGCAATGAACGAAGGTGCCTGGCGTGGTTCTGGTATAGGCAATATTAGGCAGCAGAGCGGAGGAATAGGGATCCCTTTACGAGGAGTGTACTCGGCCGGTCGGATACGTTGGCGCCGGCGAATTCGTCGTCGTCATCGTCGCTCTTGTTCGTGAATGACGTGCTGTAGGTCTGTATAGTGGAAGAGAAAAGACACGAGGGGTAGTAAAGGCTCTCTCTCTCTCTATCTCTCTCTGTTCCTGTGGCGAAATTTATTCATGGGGATGGTCGATGCGCCGACGCTTGCTTCCTCTTTTTTTTCGCCCCCCTCCCCCCCTGTCTTTTTTTCTTTACTACTTCGGGGGATTACCATTTTTATTGCCCGATGCGTGCGTCTACATTATATTGCGAAAAATGGTGTGTGTATATGTATAAGCTCCACCCCGACCATCTCGTTCGGACTTCCCGTGCATCAGTGCCCCCTCGTGATTTTTACGAGGTGAGATGGTTTTCGCTCATCATTGTTGTGACGTGTTCGGCCGGGTCTACAGATGTATACATGTACATATTTGTTCCTCTGTTGCACGTGTCCACACCATTTGATCGCGCAATCGAGATTATTTTCCAAAGTTACGTGTTGTTTTCAGCTTTTACGTAACGTTGGTGCAACGTTAGTGGGATTTTGATCGCATGGACACTTATTCAAAGAAAACATAATGCTATAATTGATAGATAAGGGATAGAGGTCGATTAGACAAAAAGATGCGGTGCTGTATATATATATATGCCTGGGTAAATTTTTATTACACGTTGCTGCAGTGCGTATATATATACTGTTTATTTATATGATTTGGATGCGGTGCACAGGTAACGAAGAGCGTTAACACTATTGAGCCAAAAAAACGTATAATCTAGCCAATAGTACCACATATGGTCCACAGAGGCCAGTATGCAAAAGTTATCACTACTGGGTTGTTGCAGTTCCAGGCAACGGTCCCTATAAAGGGTCGTTCACGATACCAGCGCCCATGTTCGGGCCAAATTTCTCATTCGCTCGTAGTTTTCTGGCAAGTCCAGCTCCTCCACCCATTCCGCCGTTCATGCCGAATCCACCGCCCATTCCTGCCCCACCACCAGGTGGTCCTTGTAATTTTCTGGTCAGTCCAGCTCCTCCGCCCATTCCAGCGTTCATACCAAAACCACCACCCATGCCTGCCCCACCACCAGGTGGTCCTTGTAATTTTCTGGTCAGTCCAGCTCCTCCGCCCATTCCAGCGTTCATGCCGAAACCACCACCCATGCCTGCCCCACCACCAGGTGGTCCTTGTAATTTTCTGGTCAGTCCAGCTCCTCCGCCCATTCCAGCGTTCATGCCGAAACCACCGCCCATGCCTGCCCCACCACCGGGTGGTCCATGTAGTTTTTTGGTCAGTCCAGCTCCTCCACCCATTCCGCCGTTCATGCCGAAACCACCGCCCATGCCTGCCCCACCACCGGGTGGTCCATGTAGTTTTTTGGTCAGTCCAGCTCCTCCACCCATTCCGCCGTTCATGCCGAAACCACCGCCCATGCCTGCCCCACCACCGGGTGGTCCATGTAGTTTTTTGGTCAGTCCAGCTCCTCCACCCATTCCGCCGTTCATGCCGAAACCACCGCCCATTCCTGCCCCACCACCAGGTGGTCCTCGGAGTTTTTTGGTCAATCCAGCTCCTACACCTGCTCCACCGTGCATACCGAAATCAAAGCCTCCACCCATGCCCGCACCACCTGCTGGCATGCCCGGTATGCTCGGCATAGCCTGTGGAACAATTTTTACCGTCTTTGATTTTTATCTTTGTAATACGTAAGACTACATGATACTACTTGGACTGAATTTGATAGACTTTACCAACAAAACGAAAATCAACTAACCTGAGCCCGGGCGTCCGCCACGAAGGCTACAGCGACAAGAGCAAGTAGAACGAATTTCATCATCTTCGATGAACTGTCGACACTCGACTACTATACCAGCGTCAAACGAGCACGCGTATTTATACGCCCGAAAAGTCCCTCGGCGCTTCCTCGGCAGCTAATCACTCATCGGGCCTCTAATCACGGACATTTAGTCGAACAAAACCGTGCCGCGCGCAATTATCTCGTAAATTCGCGAAAATATTGTTTTTGCGAGGGAAAAAAAAAATGTATTGTTCGCGCTTGATGCTATATACGCCGAGGGACGCAGATGGAGGGAAAAACAAAGTTGTCACGCGATGTCACACTTCCGTCCGATTCATCAAAGTAACGTCACTGCGTTATGCAATCAAACTCGCCGTCGTCATTTTCATGCATTATTTGGGTTTTGAGGATTTTTCGTACGGGTTGTCATTACGTTTACGACTATACCATAAAGAAAGAACGAAAATTTTTTCTTTTCTCTTTTTTAATTTCATTTCCTCGATGCAGTATTGCATTACGTAAATAAGATGAACTTGATACGACTGCATTCATTTAATGTTACGTGGAAAATCCAAAGAACTCCATGTGTCTCGCAATCATAAACACAGTCACGGCTTCTTGTCGCACCACAAATCTGATTCAACAGAAAAAAAAGGCTCTGTTAAAATGATTTCGATCCATATAGCTTTTACATTGAAACTTGAATCATCAGCATCAGCAGCGATCGTCCGCACCGATTTTCGGCGACAAAGTCCCAGTGGCGGTAACCAAATGCCAGGGCTTTCGGGTGTTCAAACAAGCGCTGGAATCACAACGTACGCACAGCTGCAGTAGAAAATCGAGAACTCGTGCTGACACTTAAACACACACACGTACATTCGGGGAAGCAAGGCGCAGCGGTCACCGCGTGGACAAAAGGCCATTTGTCTGGGACCATCACCTCCAACCAAAAGCACCACGAGGGAGGGTGAATTACACGTCCACTCCCCGTGTAAGTCCGTGCCTAAGTATACACGGCGAGAGCGTATAAAAGCACATTGGCAAGTCCAACTGTGCAAACTGCTCTCGGGAAAGGGAGATGGATGGACAACCGTCGAGGGAAAAACGTTTTGTCACGCGGCGCCTCCGCTGCTGACCCGCGGGCGATTTATCACCGTCTCGCTCGGGACGGCCAACTCTTGCAAGCTGCGACCTTTGACTTTCCGAAAGGCGTGGAAGTGAGAAAAGCTATACCGAGCAGAGAAAGAGGGGAAGAGGCAAGAGTACCAAGAGAATTAGCAAATCGAGAGATGAGGAGGAAGGGCCGAGGGTGCATTTGGAAAATTGTCCGATCATTAGCTCTCACGGATTATACACCTATCCGCTCCAGGGTGGTAGGTATGTGCTCTTTCTCTAACGAGATCTCGCTTCCACGGGAACGGTGCTCGGGTAGATTGGACCGAAATGCTGATATGTTTTTTTTATTTCAAAGTAAATTTAAAAAAAAAGAAAAAAAGGTTACTTTCGAGGAAAATTGAAAATCTGTATTGTTGTTTCCTTCCGCTCATCGGGTACGCGGGTGCGCAATGCGGATGCTCCTGCGGATATTTTTCTGGGTCCGTCTCGAACAATCAAGTTTTTATTACGTCATTTCCACCGAGTCGCGCATATATAAAGTAGTCATGTTATGGCCGATAAACGGTACAGCCGTGGCACAAAAAACCATCCCCCCTCGAGACGTTTGAACTCGAGTAATACAGCGATTTGTCCGTGGCCAACTTGTGATCGGACGTACAATCATCATTGGTAAAGCATGTATAGGTTTTTCTTTGCTCGACGTCTCGTCTCCTAGAGAAATCCTTCAGCGATACGAGGAAAAGAAAAGCTATACCTATATATACACGTAATTGTTTGTTCCGTTCGAGTAGACCACTTTGCTGCTCTTATGGTTCCCTCCCCTGTTGGAAAATAAGACGAGGCTCGCCGCATCCCACGTAATGGATGAATTTCTCGAGCAAACGAAGCAAGGGAAAAGGGAAAAAAAGGGCCGTACACGCGCAGGGGTAGAGAGGATGAGATATCCGCGCGTATATTCATCCCGTGATACATACAGCGCGCAACAATGATTTGAGCGTGTACGTGGCGCCGAGCCAGAAAGTTGAATTCGTCCGTCCAAGAATACACAGGGGAGAGAATTCCTTTAGAAGCCACCCCCTTTATCGCCCTTACGCATACACCACTCCGTGTACGCGCACTGCACGAGAGAGAAGGCAAAGAAGTTTCGCAACTACGGCGCGTCGTTATTTACTATCGGTACGAAGGGGGGGAGTCTCATAAGCCGCGAATAATGCAGTCAAATTAAGCCCAGCGTTTAAATTGCCCTTACATCTCTTGGTGCGCTTTTACTTCAAACTTTTTCTTTTACTCGCTGGTATATACAGGCCTTGTCCCGGAATTACATGCGTACATTGTGCCCTAAACTAATTTACCCACACGCACGCGTGGGAGTAAACGCAATTATCGCTTAACGCGCAACAAACGAGACTTGATCATCCGAAAGTTTTACCTACCACCAGGTTTTGAGTCTCCAATCGCATCCCAGGAAGAACGAGTTGCGGCACCCTCGGTTAACAGAAGTAAATACCTTACTTGTTTTATTTCTTTTCTAATAATACCCTCCCTCAAAGCGACGCCGTTGGTATATACAGGACGAAGAGGAGTCTGCTCGCGAAGGCAAACACCAGCGCGTCGCGGCAAAGGATCTCTGTACACGGGCCAAACAAGCTCCCTGATCGACTTTGATTAGAGCGTCGCTTAACGACGGGGGGGGGGGTGGCAGGGCTAATTTAATATTCGCAGAGAGCCGTCTGGAGCAGGGTGTACTTTGCTCGAGGGGTGCGCGCAGTCAAAGGGAGAACTCCGCGAAATTTCCCGCTTTTCCAGGAGCTGGTGATTTTGGGGATGAAAAATCCACACGCGACGATGTTCCGCATCACAGTCGCCGGTGGGGGTGGACCGCAGGTGCGCTCTAGTGTATACGCGGGACGTGGTCCGATCCCCGAGGGGCGAGTCGAGATTCTTTATGGTACTCGGCGTCCCATAATCGTGCGGGTAAACGAGCGCGCCGCTATCGTTTATTTGATTGCGCGATATCTCGACGGGTAGCGCCTCGAGAAAAATCCCGAGCCGAAATGGATCAGCGTTTAGGACCTTTTTTTCCCCCCATCCCTCTATTTAGCAGTGAGATTTAACCAGAAGGGCAGTTTGGAGAGGCAAAAAAATTAGCTGCGCCATAAAAGTACTTTCGCTTATTCCAGATATCGATCGAGTATTCGGAGAAGAAGACACGGCGACATGGATGTACAGGGGGCTGATAACTACGTTGTCGCGTTAGATCGGCTTTGTCCGTCGGGGCTGTAAAACGGAACAAAAAAAAAAAAAAAAAAAAATCAATTCCACGAGTTGGGATGTGTATCCATCGCCTCCGGTAATCGGTAATGATGGCAAGCGGTGCGCTCAACGAGGAGGCTACATAATTATCATTATTGAGCGCCACTTGGCCCGAAGCCACGTTCCGTTGTATACATACTCCAGACGAGATGCATCCATATTTCACTGGTGGGAGAGGAAGAGCCACACAATGGCCGATCGGCCGGGCGCAGTGCCCGGTTGTGTGTATCGGGGCGCATCCGGTGCGTCTGGATAGCCGGTGCTGCTGTGCAGGCTCTTCTCGAGCGCGTGCCCATAAACGTAAAATCTAACTGCCTCCGCTTCTTCCGCGCGCCCAATTGCAGCGGGGCCGGCTTATCCTTGCGGTCGAAGCACCTTCCCGAGATGAGCCGTTTCGCGGAAGGGCGGGCTCGCTCGGAAGCTTAAATCCTACCGTCCGCGAGCTTCCGGTGCAGATACCCCGTATTCCGTATGCAAATTTTTTGTGTTACTTATTCCTCGGAGCTTCCTTCTTATACATTTGTTTTTTTCATACACGTAAATTGCTAATAATTTTATTTCGTTTTTTTTTTTCAGGAAAAGAGGCTCACCCTTTCGTCGAACGAGTATTGTTTATGATGCGTGTACTCTTGGGTAGATTAGAGCCAATCCAAGAAACGAACCCGCACATCAAGGACAACATTTAATGACATAAGGACAAATATAGTATCTTTCGACTCAATCTTACACTTTGAGCAAAATGATAAAATAAACTTTATGTAGGCGAGAAACAAGGGAAAAATAAATACGACTGAACTATGAATTAAATGAAACAAAAATATTAATATTTATTCAAGCGAGTTATAATAAGCTGATAGTAATAAAATAATGATAAAGGAAGGTAATAATTATTTAACGACTATTTAGGGAAATCAGAGAATTCGAAAAGGCTTCAGTATTTAATTCAACACAGAATCATTGAAAAACGATTAACCAAATTTTAGTTGCAAAATGAAAAAGGTGACTTTCGACAAATTGCTAGAGCGGAGGTTTGAGTGACGATTGCCTGGCGAATAATAGCGAAAAGTATAAGATTCAAACTTCACAACAATTTAAGAAATGCGCAGCAATGCAAAACTAGCGTCTACGGTGAGACGTGCAGATCGAGCAGCGACGGCTTCGCGGGAGCGTCCTGTCGATTCGATCGCCGATGCGAGAAGAAAGCTAGACAACTCGCACGGGAAGCGTGCAAGAATAGAAAAATTCAAAAGAGTACCAGGACGAGGAGACACACATCTATTATTTGTTTCATGATCGATAATTACGGTGTAAGTGTATGTGTCTTCCACCAAATGGTTAGTGCCGCTATCGACTCCCACTCCAGCGCAATTACAGTACCAGGCAATCGTACCGAAATTCTCCGCTCAAGCGAACAAGTATTCATACGCAACATGTTCCTCCAGTAGCAGCGGCTTAGCCACGTGAAATTACGTTAAAAAGACAAAAAAAAAAAAAAAATAAAAGCTCGAGCGTGAATAGGCAGCCAACCCAGCAACTGCGTGTAAACAGCACAGCCCTGGGTGTACGTTAAAAATTAACCAGAGCAGAGCAAAAGTACGTTACAACGAGTACCCCCCACTGTCGACTCTTCGCCTTTTCAATTGGTAAGAAACAACTGTATGTGCCTTAACATACAAAACCCTCTCGCCCCTTTGTCAAAAACAAAAAAAAAAGAAATCACGTTAGCTGGGCGTACTTACTTATTCCCAGGCCCCCAGTGGCGAGAAAAGAATCGCAAAACAATAATCTCTCGCTTGCACGGTGTGTGCCAGGCGCGTTAAAATTAATTCACCCCCGTGAGCTTGCAAGCTCTCCCTTGTACTTCTTCGGCTCGGGGGTCTCTTGTCGCCTTTACCCCCGAGGGTGAGCAATCGCTTGTACGCCATCCCCCAACTTGGTTAATCCCTCCAACCGTGGACACCTGCAATTACAGGGTCAAAGGCTTTGTTTCCGTCTATTTTTCGATTGCCTTTCGTTTTTTTTTTTTTTTTTTTTTTTTTAACGAGCTGTTGGTCAACTCTCAACATCTTACTTGTAATTTCACATTGACGCAATTTAATTGCTTGAATTGCCCAGTTTTAAGAATTTAAAAAAAAAAAAAAAAAAAAAATTAAAACTCCCTCAACTTGCATCCACCACGAGCTTTCCACACTCGCTTTGTTCTTTCTCTCTCTTTCTCCTTCACCGACACACAACGTTCCCTCTGCACCTCTTCTTCTTCTCCTCGCGTCGTATATACACGCGTATACAGCAAACATCCCCCGACACCGCTCGAGGCCGGGCGGCGAAAGGCACGTAATTTCTCGGGCTGACGCCCTAATTGGAGCCTCTTTGAAAATCTTCCGGCTGGCTTGCTCTGCCGTGCAATTACACCCCCTCCTACCCCCCCCCCTCCATCTCTTTCACACTCCGATAAAACTTTTCGCTTCCGTCGACGCCGTCGAACCGACCTCGTCGATACACCAAATATACGGGTGGTATCCTCCGGACCCTCCCCCAAGACAATACATACACGGGCCCTTATTTAGCGAGCTACTTAGCACCGCTGGCAGCCCGCGTCGCCTAATATACGTGTCTCAAGCCCCGAGGGGCCGAGCCGTATAATATACTCGCGTGCGCCCAGTATAGACGTACCTATATATATCCGCTTCTCCCGTTGAGCGTGTCGGATTAGTGTGGCCGTGGCGTATCCATATAGTATACCTATATGTACACACGCGCAGCAGCTACGTATACGTATATGTGGGGTAGTTAAATTACAGGTGTCCGTTTGCCGGTTCTGCTTGGCGTGCGGGGGCTGATTAATCCATCGGCTCGACCACCGAGGGCTGTTTATTATTTTAATGGCCGATTTCGGGGAAGGGTTGATTGAGTTTATCAATTTAATCTGTCTCGCAAATCGCGGGATTAAATGTACAATTTTTGTGGGAATTTTATTTCACCCCCCGGAATTTCTTTGACTCATCAACATTTTCCTTTTTCATTTTTTAGAGGGTGGGCGAGGTGTGGCCTTTTTCTTCTCTATGCACATGTGAGGAAAACAAAACGGCAAAGCTTACTTTTAGTTGGAAGAAGAAGATGAAAAAAAAAAAAAGAGTCAGATAGGAAAAGCACCAGCTAGACCCGGTACAAGTAATTTGCGTGTCTCTATCGGAAGACATGAAAGTAAGAAAAACTCGCAGCGGCGGTATATACGAAGTGGGTAATTCTCGCTGTGTACTATTACGATAAAAGGGACGCGGATGATTTATTATTCATCGGCTCTTTCTTGCGCCGACTTCTCGAGGGGTTGTAGCACTGTCTTTGTGTTATTTAGACGGCTATGATTCAACATAATGCCTCTCGCACCCTCGAGCTCCACGTAACTCCGTTTACGGTATTAAAAAATTTCAGAAGGTTACGGGCCATTATACTGCCGTGTAGCTCATTTCCAAGTGAATATAGGTCGACCGTGGTGTCCTTGGGAGCACAAATTTTTCTCACAAAGTCATCGGTATACGAGTTGGAAAGGAGGGAGGTTGAACAAAGAAGACGACGTTTTTTTTATATAAATAAAAAGTAATGTATACATGTATTTATTTATATGCATATGTATGTATAATTCGTACAATCATGAAAAATCCTTACATGGTATGATCATGGATCTCGTGTCCGATATTAGCATACGATATCATCGTGTAGGGGCGTGTGCTCAAGACACGTACGTAAAACACATTCCCACGTCGCGGGAATGTTTATATGGATCGGTCTACATGATAAAAGGGATGAACTAACGAAAATCAAGGATATTCGGGAAACAAGTATGATCGAGTGAGTGATGAATGGATGAGCAATAATAAGTTAGGGTTAGTGCGAATCTTTTTTCTTTTTTTTTTCCCTTTTTTCACTTTTTTCTTTTCAAAATGACAATGGTAAGGCAAGGTGAACTAATAGTTAATTTTTTTGTAAAAAATAAATAAAGGGTTTTTTTTCATCGCTTCGAGCGACGTTCAATGCGTTACATATATATATATATATATAAAACAAGGGGCTTTTTTTCTTTTTTATTCCCCCCCTCATACAATACGAGCTGCCCAAAGTATAATTATCATCGTCGCTCGTCACAATATATAGATATACCAACACAAGCGTACGAGTAGGGGTGGAAAAATGATTTTCTTCACTCCGGGGCAGTAAGCGTAGACCGATAGCACTCGTAGTGGCACGAACATCATCGTGGATGAATCAGTCTGCGCTTACCGCGGCCGCATCTCCCGGAAGGTCGACGGTTCGATGTTACACACGCATGCAACAACAACAACATAAACAACAACAAATGAGAAAATACACGAGGGCGTTGGTTAAGAAAAAACGTATGATGAAACAACACATGGGAGATGGAAATGTGGGAAAGGAAAGGGGGTTGGGGTGGGGCAACTCGAAGGCTCTCAGCGTCTCGACTCTTCGTCTTACAAAATATGTACATTCAACAACGGCACGAGTGCTTTTCTCGGGCATCGGTGCGCGCGTGTCTTTTTTTTCTCCTCTCTTTCTAACTCCTTCTCCCTATAGCTCGCCCTCTATACTCGGCCGGCCTCTCTCCCTCCGATTCTCCCCCTGCCCGAGTCCTTTCCAATATTTACACAGAGAGAGAGTACGAAAAAAAACAAAAAACAAAAAAACCAACACTACGCGGTCCATCGGAAGGTCCCCCGGGAAAGCCGCGAAGGAAACGAGAAATCTTCAGTCTTGCCCCGACTGGAGCCGGCCCGATCGAGAGTCCCATTACCTCGGCGAGGCAAGAGCGAGCGAGAGACAAATGATGGACAGAGAGAAGGAGCTGAGACGGTCAATGCACGGGCCGAGGGCGACAAAGGGCTCCACGGCTCGCTCCTCTTTGTGCTCGATGGTACAATATGTATCTCCGTACTGGTAATGACGATAGCATATAATAGCGATGGAAAGAAAACAAAAAAAAAAAAAACAAAAAAAAACAAAAAAAAAGAAGCAGAAAATCGTCTTTGGGAGTGGCTCAGTTGGCGACCTTGATGAACTCGGGGTGGTTCTCGGCCACGTAAGCCGGATGCGCGAAGCCCAAGTGGATGCCCGCGTTTTTGCGCGACATGGCGCGCACGCGCACAAACATAAATCCAGCCACGAGGCTCGAGACGACGGTTATGAGGAGCAAGAGCGCCAGACCGGTTATGAAGCTCGGTATCGTCACGCAAAACGTCTCCGAGTCGCCGTTCAGTGGGGCGTCCTGCACAACCACGGTCGTGTCGTTGTCGCTGCTCTGCGTCCCGAGGGCAAAGTTCACGTCCCCGGGCGCCACCACCTGGATGACCCGCGACGTGTTCACGTCCGTCATCTCCTGGGCGGCCCGTTTGTACACGTGCGACGTCACGAAAGTCACCGTGTGGAAGGTGCTCTGCTGAAACAGGCAATACAAATAAATACGTATCAACCATTGGCATTCGCAAGGAGTTCCGTTACTATTAGTCTCTGGACTCACGTGGTGGTGGTGGTCGTCATCGTCGGCAACGTTCCTCCTTCTTCTCCTGGCGCCCCGGAGCTCGGCGGGCAGGCCTTCGACGGACCTCGGCCGTCCACCGAGGGTCGCGAGGTTGCCCTCGAGGTGCTCCTCGCTACCGGCGGTGCCAGTCCTCTTGACCGTCTGGTACGTCTGGTACTTCCCGGGTAGGGGCGGCGGTGGCAGGTGGATGTTGTCCTGGGCTTGTTGGACCTGTTGCTGCTGGGCCGAGCTCTGGGGCGCGCTGCTGCTCGCCGTTGAGTCGCCGTTGCCTCCCGTCGAAGTCGAGCTCGGCGACGACGATGTCTGGGCTTGCGGTGCCGGCACCACGTCGGGACTCGGCTCGCTGTGAACGGTGGATACACACGTAGGTACATTTTTCACCCGTTGTATTGAACACGGGTTCGATTCCCGATCAAGACGTACCTGTATGCGCCGGCTGGGCCACTGGGGTGTCGTGGGTCGGGGTAGGCCGGGGGCACCCCGTACTCGGGCACTGGTGGCGCTCCGTACTCGGAGGAGAGCCCTTGGTGGACGGGGGCGCCGTACTCGGTGGCCAGGGCGTTGGAGGGTGCCCCGTACTCGAGGCCGGGGTGGCCACACTTGGGCTCGGGGCAGTTGTACCTGCAGACCTGGATCACGCACTGGAAGTGCACGTTCATGCTGTCGGGGAACTTGAACGCCTGGAAGTAGGCAAAGCTCACCACTGACGCGCTCGGCCCAAAGTTCTTGATCTTTTGGAATCTACCACGAAACGATTATATTATTATCCAAGCACTTGATCATAGGTGGTGGGAGGGGAAAAAAAAAAGAAGTTGTTCATACCTGGACATGATCTTGGGCCTGACGACGCAGCCGTACTGGTCGACCAGCTGTATGGGGGCACGCTTGCCGTCGTGGGCCACGCAGTTTCTGACGAGCATGTCGAACTTGTTCTCGTCGTCCTTGATGGCAAGGACCATCGTCATGGTCTGACCGATCTTGACGATGCCCGAGACCTCGGAGGCCCAGGGCCCCTTGCCCACCTGTATCTGCATCCAACACTGAAGATTGTCGCCGAGGAAGTTGGCCGTGACCGCGTGCAGCATGTCGACCTGGAAGGGCCGGAAGGTGACGGCCTTCTCGTAAAAGTCGTACCACGTGCAGCGTAGCTTCCTCGCCTGGTCCCAGACCTCCTGGACGTACGAGTCGTACTGGATGATGATGGTGTTCTCGACGTAGCTGCCCGAGGGCGTGGGCGAGCCGTACGGGGCGACGTTGTGGTTGGCCGAGGACGACATGCCACACGAGTTGAGGAATATCTCGAAGGTGGCGCTCAAGTGGCCCGTGCCGGGTTTCAGGTGGACGCAGTGCGGATCCGAGTAGAAGCCCTTGCTGAATATCATGCCGTAGAACGGCCGGTCGAACTCGATGTTCACCCGCATGTGGGTCTTCTCGCATTGGACCTGCAGGTGCTTTATTTGGGGCGTGTCGGGCGACGCCAGGGGCCAATTCTCCTCGGCACCGTGGCCAGGCGCCCCATACTGGGCCGGTGGCCCGTACACCGACCTGTGCTCCAGGGGCAGAGCGCTGCTGTCGAGCGGCGTCTCGCCATTGATGTGGCTCTGAAAGTTACCGATCATGTCGTTTATTACACTGCTCGTGTACACACACACACACACACACAATACGCATCACAACAGGGTATAGGACGGTTTTCCCTGCATTGGTCGCACTAGCACGATAATGAAGGGCTATGCGGACGAGGCCGAACGAAACAATCTAAAGACAAGATTGGTAAACAGGAGAGCGAGCGGTGAAATTTATTCAACGGCACACTTCTCGACAGGCATCAAAACGTTGACCAAAAAAAAAAAAAAAAAAAAAAAAAAAAAAAAAAAAAAAAAAAAAAAAAAAAAAAAAAAAGAAGAAGAAATAAAGATGTGAAATACGTCGAGTGATAAATTCGAGCAACGTCGTAATAAAGCTTTCAAGAAACGCGACGCCGCGTCGTGCAGTCGGACGGGTCGAGAAAAAAAAAAAAAAAGCATCCATATCGCTTGATACGCACGAGCGTGTGAAGAAATAAAGGGACAGGAAATCATAAAGGGAGTCGAAAAGTAACGGATCCGAAATAAGAGGAGGGGGACGTCGAGTTCGTCGCTGTGTTGCACAAGAGATCGTTCCAACTTGCCACTTGGACCAGGGGGACAGAGTCGTGGTATATATACATTATTTACGAGGGAGGTGTAACCCGATGCACCTCTAATCAAGATTAATCAGCATAATATAAATCAGCGTAACGTAAATTTTGATGATTTAATCGGCAATTTGCCGATCTTACTCGCACACTTCTCGTAATCGTCGCGCAATTGTTGGAGGAACTATCGATGCGTGTCATAAACGAACCATCACATAAACATCAATTAACAGATTAACAGCTGCAGATGTGTCCGCGTTAAGTTTATTGTGTACATATATATATACGAACAAACCTCCTCCAGACTTTTATCCGTCGCGTCGCCTCGTACAGGTACACCTACCGCATAAATGTGAAAAAAAAAAAAAAAACAACCGCCAGAAGCAACTATCGTATCCCATGCTGGTATCGCCTCGAGGCTACCGCTTCTTCCTTTTTCTTTAGCCGCAGCATCAGCAGTGGATCCTTTCTGGGTTACCGGGCACGTGTGTTTGTATACGTGTAATACACGGTCTCTATGTGTGTGGCGCGCACCGGAGGAGAAACTCGAGGAAAGAATATAGGTACACGCGAGGGGAGGATGAGGAAATGATTGCGGTAATTGCTCGGTATGGCCGCGCGCGTTTCGCGGAAATTTCGTATTGAAAATGACTCGAGAGATCAAAGATGCGATGCACGCGCGATGCTCGCCTTTCGGCTGCCCTCCCGATTTTTTATTGTCGACGATTTATTGTTAATCGCGGTTAGATACGGAACTCGGGATTGGCTTGCGTTTGACGCAGGTTGTCGTACGCGTATATGTAAATGTGTTATCGTGTCGGATGTTACGGAATCGATGATTATTAGCATCTGAAACGGGGTAACGGTATGTACAAAAAAAGAAGAAAAAAAATCTCCTTTTACCTGTACACGCGTGTGCCTCGAAAAAACATTGTAAATCGAGTCAAGATTTACCCCCGTAAAAAATGAACGACTCGCTATTAGCCCTTACAAGCGGTGATACGTCTCTCTCGGACAATGGGCCATTTTCGCGTAACAGCCGCAGTAAAAGGCCTGGGGATCCCATAAAGCCCTTCCCTCGGAAAACAATATCCCACCCATGTGTAACGTATAAAGTCGGTCGTTGCACGCGCGCGCGTAACTGCGCAAAAAAGACGCGCGAGGGACTGCCCATTATCGCGCGTAAAGTGCCATTATCCGCTGACCCTCGTGTGACACGAGTCGCGCCGATGTAATATCGTACAAACGGTGGCACGAGGTTCCGGAGGAACAGGTTGCCTTTACGATGACCTTGCCTGACGCGTCGATTGTGTTACACGCGCATACATGCTGATGACACGCTTTTGGGTTGATGGGACCCCGTTGAAATACATTATTATGCTAAATATCTCTTGGCTACGTAAGTATACAGTTGAAAAATAAAAAACTGAAGCTATCTATCGCGAGTACAAGGGCACAGTAGCAAAGTTGCTAGGATCTTTCAGCACCAAGTACGGCCCATAGTAGAAGAAGAGTCCCCTGGGCAACGCCACAGTTCCACGCGCCCGTGTACTTTGGAATTTCGATAACATATACATACATTTCTCCGTCACGAGCTGTAAAGTCCGACCCACCCCACCCCTTTCCACGCACGCGTGGTCGATGTATCTCTCAAAGAGAAAATCGTTGTGTCGCTTACCCGTGGAAAAAGTAGAGCGGTGTCTCCTATTACGCACTTGGTGTTTGTACGTACCAGGAGACTACGCACACACAGGCGCGTGGTACAGAGAGAAACGACCGCGGTGGAAAATGTCGCCACGTCGAGTCGTTCGCCCCAGATGTTTTTTCTTATATATATACATAAAACCCGCCCAGACGTCAAACTACATTTTTATACGTACCCCGCGCACGGTGTAGTGTATATGCATGAATATGAGGAGCTTCAGGTGCAGAAAGAAATCAACTTCTTATATTCCCCTCTCGGGCCTAATTAGAAGCGTAGCTGTGCTCAGCGTCGTGTGTTATTATTTGTGTGCTAACGCGCGTACGTTAACGCTTTTGTACGTGCCCCGCATACACATACCATAATATATGTGTACGTACCCATAACTGCACGAGTAAACGCATAATATATCGGGCGCGTGCCGTGAGAATTAGGCCGGGAGCCACTCGATTCGAGGTTAATTTTCAATCGTCCTCTTCCCCCCCATTCCTTCGTCTTCTCACCCGATTACATAATTATAGTAAAGCGCGCGCGCTCGACTTTTTGCATAATCCAATCGGTCTTACTTCCGGTTCGTTTGGTACTCGGATGGCATTGGTGGGTGTATTCCTCGAGTGCGGTTGCTTTGTTTCAATTGCCGTGTAATCTACAGGTTTTTGGGTCTATATACACGTGCTACGTAGATTAGATTGTACTAGAAAACGCTCTGTGCTTTGCATCCATCGATTGGCCCGATACTGCGTAGGATATTGGATCCTGCAAGCGCTCGACTCGGCTCTTTTGTTTTCATACGCGCAACGCAATTAGAATTCAATTATTCCGCGACACTCGGACTCTTTGTTTTTTTTTTGTTTTTGTTTTTTTTTTTTTTCATCGTCGCTACAATTGGACGCGCTCGCGGGTGTTCTTCCTCTGATCCGTGCGAAAAAGAAAGTACAAGTTTTCGAGCGCGATATTCCGAAAAAAACCACGCGCCGCGCACTTACATATATGTATACACATCCATGGTAGAAAGTCGCCGCGTTCCCGAAACCTCGAAATCATTTCGGAGCTTACCTTTTTTTTTTTTTTTTTTTTTGTTTATTCCAAGCACGTCCGCGCGCGCTCTCGATTTTTAATTTTTAAGGAAACGCGCGAAGCGTCGCTAATCGCTCGTCGTCGACTGTTTATCGTGGTTTTTTTTTCTATGGCTCCTAATGTACAATCATAGGCCGCGATCGTTTTGCGGTGTCCCGCAAAATTACACGCTTCGGGCGAGAGACGCCTGTTTGACTCCCACCTCGAGTCGCGCCTCCGCTTCGGATAAGTAAGTTCATTTTCATTATTGAAAACGACTTAATTACACACGGACTCGGCGAACCGCCGATTTTTCTTTCTATTTCTCCTCCCTCTAAATACATATTTTTACTCTCTCTAACTCGTCGCATCACCTATAGACAGCACCGTTACAACGAGATCTCTTTTCCTCTTTTCGCAACAAAGTTGCAAACGACAATCTGATGGTAGTATTTTTCTAAAAATCGATCAACTACATCCAACCGAGTAAAGAAAAAAAAAAAAAAAAAAAAAAAAAAAAAAAAAAAAAAAAAANAAAAAAAAAAAAAAAAAAAAAAAAAAAAAAAAAAAAAAAAAAAAAAAAAACGTAGGGTCGAAGAAGAAAATGTTTGCTTCACAAACAAGGGGTTTTTTCCCTCCCTGGGTGTAAAGCGAAAATCTATTGGGGAACAAACCAAGGACGAGGCAAAGTTTGCAAAAAAGAGGAAAGCAACTCGCTCGGCCTTGCAAAGGACACCCGTCCCAAGCCGCAACGGTGCATCGTATACGTTATACCGTCTCATTGAAAACACCAGCCTACAGTGTACGCAGGTATGTATGTCATCGGTGGTAAACCGGAAGAAGGGGAGGGACGAGGGAAGCTGAGTAATGGTACACACCAACGTGTGCATTAATCATCATCGGCAGTGCGGATCAAGCGCGTCAGTGATTGATAAGTTATTTTAATTGGCACGCGCGACTGTACGCGTACACGAACAAAAAGTGCTCGGGAGCAACCGATTTGGCGGAGGAGACACGCGCTCTCTAACGGGGAACGGCCGAGCGATTACTCTTAATGTGTCGCGTTCGTAAACGAGCACTTGCGCAGTACCGAAGAGAAAACAGAAGAGGTGGAATATACTATCGTCTCGGAAAACTACCCCCAGAGAAAGATGTTGTTTTTACTTATGTTACCGACTTCCCTGGGACCATGCTGTGAACGAGACGCTTCGACGGCATCATGAGTCGATGTCGAGAGAAACGAGATATATTCGGTGCGACACGTGCAGTGTTTCCGTGCATTTGAGTTACCATTGACACCCGTGTCCCGGCAGTAATTGGCCTTACAAAAAGACTACCGATCGACGCCAATTACATTAAGGGGTGGGGGGTGGAGGCCGCCGAATCACCTACTTTTGGACTCGCGATCGGAGACACCTGTTTTCCAGTCGAAAGTCAAAAGGAAGACTGGCCGGAGCTAAGCCTCGCCTTTTCTAATAACTCCCGACGCGCGTCAGGTGTAAACGAGACGGGCGGCAACAGCCGGCGGGCAAGACACGTCGCACACACCCATACGCGAGAGAAAGACAAAAAAGAGACGAGGTGCCAGAGACGAGTCCAACGCGACGGGCAGCTCCTCCATTTTTTTTCCATTTAACGTACGCGACAGTGACAACCACGCGGGGGGAGAGATCTATCTCGCGCACCCGGAGCGTCTGCTCTCTTATACCGGGAAAGAAAGCCCGTGCAACGCAGCTCGCACTCGAGAGAGAAGGAAAAGAAAAAGCAGTCCGATTGCCAGGCGTTTTAAAGGAGCTCTCCGCGTCCCGGTATATACCGCGGCACTGTTGCTAGAGGAGCACACACACACACACACGTCCACACCAGCGGCAGTCGTAAAGGGGCCAGAGCGCGTCCGGCGCAGTGACCTACTATCGTCGCTCCGCCGGACTCTCTTCGTCTCCCTCCTTCCTTCCCTCTCGAGCGAGCAGGTAGCTCGAGTTCCTCTCTCTCTCTCTCTCTCTCCTCGTATGTGTGTGTATATGTGAGTATACGTCTGCTAACCGAAACAACCTGTGCGAGTGCACATTCTTCCTTCCACTCTCCCTTCCTTTATACGCACATAACGTGTGGGCAAAGCGTCCTTGCCCCGCGTCACCCTTCCCTGATTTTACTGTGGCCGATTGCGCGAGAAGGCGGAGAAATGGGGGTCTCCCTAACGTGCCTGTTTTTTTCCCCCCGATTATCCGTCGATGACATTCTTCCTCGTGGATTTTTGTGGCAATACATCAAGCAAAACATTGAAGACGATGCGCAAGGTGTTTTACAAGTTTCTCTCTGTATGGGGGTTACGCGAGCGTATCCCGTGAGGGGTAGAAAAAAAAAAAAAAAAAAAGTTGCGCTGGAACAACTCGAAAATTTATTAATCCCCCGGCGAAGCGAAGGTCGATCGGAAGATATTTTGGCAAAGTTGAGGCCTTATTGCGTGGGACAAATAAGCGTCAAACTTTTTCGACGCAGCCTTCGTTGATTTATGCAAGCTCCGTGATTTATTTTTTCCCGTGGATAGTACTTCACTTTGGCTGCTCGTGGTTGCCTTTAATTAGCAAAGGGTGTACCCCGATAGTGTCACTGTGGCGTGAATGAGCAGCAATTAGCGAGGAGGGGGCGAAAATATAGCTTCAGTAGTAACAGACGATAGTAGTCGGACTGCTCGAACAGTCAGACAGACAGACATTTCACCTACATCGATGCTCGTCTGTTGCTCTTTTTTGTTTTTGTTTTTTTTTTTTACTGGCAACTGGAAAAAAAAATGGAGTCTCGATTGGTTAGCGCGGAATAATGAACTGTAGACGGAAGATTTTTGTCTTTTCATCGCGATGAGACTCATTGCCGCGATCTTTTTTTTTCTCCTTCCCCCGGAGCGTTCATAAAATTATGTCGTTTGCAACAAAGTGCCGACACGGCTTTTTTTGCTATTTCACGCTCGTTTGCCTTCCAATGGCCAGGAAGCTGAGATGATTTATGCAACAGTTTGACGCTTCATTGAGGTTACAAAGGAGAGTCAAGGGGTATACAGACTGTTTTTTCCTACCACTTCTTGGGTAAGAAGCAAATACCAAATGGCTGTTGATTCGCTGTATCGATGATTGAGTGATCATTGCTGATTTGAAAAGTATATTTCATCCAAAACAGAGGTGACGATAACTTTTGAGGAAAAAAAAGAAAAGAAAAAAGTATTTGTCGATATTACTATTCACAATTGCACCGAGTTAAAGACGTGCCGGGTGGACTTGAAAATTTATTACGCTTCTGCAAAGATATTCCCGAAGTATTTTCCGAGCGCAACTTTGCCGGCCGCGTTTCTTTAAGCGCGCATTTTGTTATTCATGGGAAACTTGGCCGTCGCTCTCGCCCGGAAAACTTTTCGCGATCGCTCGCATGGGAAACGGAAGAAAAGAAAAGAAGAAAAATGAAGTTCAGCAGCTTTTTTTTTTTTTTTTTTTAAATTTTCATTTGTACTCACTGCCAGCAGCAAGAGCGGCAGCAACAGGGACAGGGCTCTCGTCCTCGTCGTCGGCGTCCGTAAACTCCTCCGCGTCCTCTCCATCTCTCTGACTCTCCCTCCTCTCTCCCTCTTATTTCCGTCTTATCTGTTCTCTGCAATTCAAAGCACAAAAATTGGTCAGTTCAACTATCATTTACATGACATGGTTTTGTTCGTGTGTGCGTGTGTATGAAAAATGCTTTGTTTTTTTAAACATCGTTTGCCAAAAATCGGGGGCAAACGAACCGCGCGATTTGCGCAATGTGCGAGCCAAAGTACCGATTTGCTCGCTAATACTAGAAATCAAACGAACGCGGACGGACTAGTTTTCCCCGCCGATATACTTTGGGTTATTTTCAATCGGCAAGTTCGCAGGCTATCATTAGCGCGCCGATGGTCGACGATTTTACTGCCACCGCGCTCGTTAACTAGTTTACTTCAACAAATAGTTTCTTTCTCTGGCAATCGAATATGTCGAGCAAATTGGATGATTGCCGATTTGTGCGTGAGTTTCGAGAAAATCGGCGCTTCCACGGTGATTGTACGTCATTATCGGAAATTGCACTGTTTGAGTTTCTTGCACTGATTTTGTATGGATCAAATTCATCGCAGACCACAACTATTTTCGACACAATGTTCAGCAGTGCCTCGATACGATGGGAATGATCGATAAAAACAAGATAGGAAAAACCACTGGATTGCACTTTTACCCGATTACACGGATCACATGGAAAAATCGGTATTTTACTCTGATGAAAAAAAAAAAAAGAAAAAAGAAACAAAATAAAAAATAAAGGTAAAACCCGAAGTTCCTCCGCGTTAAAAACCTCCGAAAGTTTAAGACCCGCGAAAAATCGAGCCAAAAAAACTCGCCCAGCCCATCCATCAACGCACGCACACGATCGCGATCTACATATGTATATCATCAAAGGGCAAATGAGATTGTCGATGTAACAGTGGTGACAACAATATGAACAAATGACAGTACACTTGGGGTATAAAGACGGTCAGAGGCGTGACGTTTCTGGCCGAGGAAGACTGACTGAACGCGAGCACGGCGCAGCGCCGATCACCGCGGCACCGGCAACAACTGAACCACCAGGAGCAACGGCAGCTACTCCGGACACACACAACACTCGCACGCCACACGAGACCGAGAAAGAGAGAACTTCCACGCGGAGCCAGCCTCGCTACACTTTGTCCCACTGACCTACTCACGGGGGCCCACTGCCTGTCGTGCCCCCTCCTCCCTTTCCTGATGTGCACGCGCTTCCTCCTTCTCGCTCGCTTTCTCGCTCGGCTATATCTCCCTCTCGAGAGCTGGGCCCCTCGGCTCGCGTTTTTTCCTCCTTTTTCTCCCTCTCTCTCCGTCTCTTTCTCCTCCCGTTTCGAGGAAAAAAAGATATCCCTCTGACGAAAGTGGAATTCACTTGTTTGCCAAGGATTGGGAGAGGGGGTGGGGGGGGGTTTACGGCACGAGTTGAGGCCCCAAATTTTCGGCAATGCTGCTTTTCCAAATCACTGGATCGGAAACTTTTAACGAGAGCAGCGTTGTATACACCTTGGCTCGGTGAAATTTCGTCGAACCGCAAGGCACTCACTCTCGGATCGAAAAATCACGTGGTACTAAAAAATACCCAAGCTGGTCCTTTGGAGCTATACCCCTGTTCATATAGTAACACACTATTTTTCCGCAAATAGGTATAAAAGTCGAGCTGGAAAAACAGCTTAGCACCGCGATTTCAACCCCGCCATCAGCTAAAAACTCGGGTATACGAAGAGGAATGGAAATTAAGGCCCTTTTGTGGTACAGCAACGTCGAAAGGCATTGTAAGTATATACATTTATGCAAAGCGTATCCTCCTTCGCGATTTTATGCCCCGGGGAACACGGCACTTGGCAGCCTCTCTCGATCTCGTCCTGTATCATTCGCACATCTATTACACTTACGCGCGAATCTCGTGGGAGAGGAGAAAAAAAATCGAGGTGACCACGTCAGGTGAAATACATGCGCTACGGCAGAAATGGGGGGGGGAGCAATCACGTCTGATGCCCCTCCACTTGCAGTCTTCTATCCTTCTTTTTGGTGTATCGTTGTACGGGTATTCGCATTTTAGCGCGATATAAAGAGAAAGGCAGTGGTTGCAAGTACACCTAAAGGTACAAAAGGCCCTTAACCATACGCAATCGAGACAAAAACTCTCTTTCCCATACAGCCACTCAACGAAAGTAAAATACTCACGGGCGCGTCGCCGGAATCATTGCCGTTCTCTGCTCCATCTTCCCCGCTGTCCTCTCCCTCGGGGTCTCTTTGTTTCATTTTATTTTTCCACGTTTCTATACTCGCATCTACCTCCGCTCGACTTTTCGGTCGGTCGGTCAGGACCCGCTGACGCGTTACGCGCGCCCGAAATTGATTTTCGCGGATCCATCTCTATGGCCCTTTTTTTGCCACTGTTGTTGTTGTAGTATCGACAGCCCCTTTTTTTTTACCAGACACGTTTGTTATTTCTATTTCGGGATTACTTTCGCACGCGTGATGTATTCGAGCTAGTCCGTCTCGCGAACACGGGCTGCGTTTGACGACGACATTTTTCGCTGGCCCAGAGTTTTAGTTGATGGACACGCAGGGCCGAAGGGGGGTTTTTTCGCTTAGGTAACTTTAACGAAACCAACACATGCAAACGATCGTCCCAATCGAATATGAACGGGAGCTCGGAAGGATTAATCGGGGCGAAAAATATTGCCCAATGTCGCGATTGAAAAGTTTCTACGGAGGCGGAAGCTCTTCTTAATGGCACCATCTCGAAAAACAAAGGCGCGAGCAGTGTACTGCGATGGGGAAAAACAAAAATTAAAAGCAAGTACACCGAGTAAAAATACCGATGGTAGGGGGAGGGGGGTAGTGGAAAGAGCTAAATCAGATTAGTTGGAGCCAATGGCACTTTGCTGTATTGTCATTTAAATCCCGTCCCTATGTACAACACCCACGCGCCACAATTGAAGGTAGAAAACCGGGAAAGTATGGGAGGAAATGTTTGTTGTTTTACAACTGATGCGTATGGCCAGTGCAGCTTTTCGCGCGTACGAGTAGCGATAACACGCAACGAAATAAAAATACGCAAAAATCTGCCTCTACGTGTATGTTATGCTGCTACGCCAAGCTGGGAGTTGTTTACAGGACGGGTATAAATATACAACCTTCCGTAAAATATACCTACATGTATACGTGTACAAACGGGAGTACCGCGTTGCTCCATATACGGGGGGATGTACATGTATATTGGGAATCGCAGAGAGATCGAGCTGGTTTCACCGTGTGCTAATTGCTAGTACGCGACTATCATTCAACGACCCACATAATCCAACATCGCGGTGACGGTGAAATCTTACGGGTACGTAATAAACGTACACGCAAGGGGACACAAAATTACACGATTAGTTTTAATATTTCCTATGTACGTGCGCAAGCAAAGTGGTGTATATAGTCGCGAGCTATCGGCTAAAGCTTTCTCCCATACATCATCACCGGTTATTGACTGGTTTTTCTTTTTCTTATGTGATATTATTCCACGAATATCAATCCCTCGCGTATCGTAAAACGACGCGTTTAGGTATGCATATATAACAATAATGATTGTAACGATGAGAAATAATGGGCCTTACGAGCTATTAATTAGGCCGAGTCGGGCATGAAAAAAGCGCGAGCCAGTGGGCCCTGCATCGGCCAATCAAGCAAAATCCATGGAGCAACTCTCAAAACGCGCGCCAATCTATACAACCTCGAAACGAAAAAGAAAGGCGTTCGCATGATCCACCGCTACTGTACTTCCTACTATACACTCTGCGCCATATGTGTAACATATACGCGAGGAAAATGTAGGCTATGCTTCCCATATATACGCGCACTCGCTCGCGTATATATACGGAACTCGCGAAACGTTTCCACGGTTGATGTATACACACAAACGCATGTATGAACTTTTTTTTTTTTTTTTTTCCTCGCTCGAAATGCGCTCGACAACACTACAAGCTGTACGTATGTGTATATACACCTGCATGGTGAAAGAAAAAAGAAAAAGAGAGCGCGTCGCGATGAATTTCGCGTAACGCATCGGCCAGCGATAACAGGCCGACCCAGATTTTCCCACCCGCATGCCGGAGGGAGAACGACACCTGTGCCCGCGACTAAGGAGGAACTAATTCCGTCCCCCGCGGAAGTCGGTGGATAAGCAAAACGAGGCACGGAGCCACCGATATTTACGCGAATCGGCTGGTAAGGGTTTGGCTGTGACGAAGGAGGGAAAAGGCGAGGAATGGCACCTTCGCCTTCGCTCGTCGCGAGCTTACTTTCTTGGCATTATCTAAACGATACACACACACACACGTGTGTACATCTGCGGCAGTATAGCGACTGACGGGCTGTAAAGGTCGGTAATAGGTTAGCACGACGTGCGCAGGGGATCTTATCGAAGTGGGCCGAACGTGCCGCGGTGCGACAAAGAGAGAGAGAGAGAGAGAGAAGGAAAAAAAAGTGCTTTGGGGAAAGAGGAATTTGCGCCTGTCTCGACTCTTCTTTTGTGCATCTTCGAACAATGCGGCGTGCGAGCCGAGCTTTTTACTCGTCGTGGAAAGCGCAACAGGTCGATGTTCAAGATTTTTGTTTCGACCTGCCGCGTCGCAAAGACACCCGACGACAGAAGAAAAATCGTGCACGCAACTGCTTCATAATTTCATTTTACTACAAGGACATTCAATTGGATCCTTTGAGGCGTTGTAAAAAAAATAACCTGACATTCAACACAGTGGCCGTAGATCACTTTACCGATCGCTCATGTACGATTTTCAATAAATCGCATAACATCAACACACTCGACGTACAATAACGTTTCTCCTCCTATCATCTGAAGCTGCAGTAAACCAGGAGATGTGCGAAAAAAAAAAAAAAAAAAAAAGTTATAGTCACGCGCGAGCACTCGTTAGCTGCACGTATGCATGTATATACGTAATTAGATACACACGGATCGGCCTCCAAGCTCCTTTCATCCTCGCGACGTAACTCGGCAAGGTCGAGTATATATAACGTATCGGCGCTTCGCACGCGAAAGCAGAGGAAAACTCTAATCCGGTGTATATACCAGGAGTGCACGTACACATGTACGATGTGTATGTATGTGCCCCAAAAACATCACCTACTAGCTCATCTCGTCTCCTCTCGCGGCTGTTACACGTAGAAAACCTCTTTTCGCACGAGAGACCCAAATCAGATCCCGTAACCAACACTTTCGACGTCTACGTCCGTCCATATAGCCATCACCGGCGTAATATAAATATACTCGGCCACAAACAGGCACGCACCGACGCCCGAGCAGATCCGTGTTTGCAGAGGCGAGTATGTGTTTTTTTTTTTTTTTTTTTTTCACGCTTGCCTTCGCAGGTGCGCGTACATTTAGTGTGCCACACACGAAACCGCATCTACGTAGTCGTGCACAGGTATAGGAATTATTATTGTTCACTCCCTGCACACATGCATTTTTCTGCTTCGCCAGTCGCTTTGCCGGATGATGGATATACGTCACAGGTCGTAGTTCAATTTCACCTGGACTTTTTCATTTACCAGCAACTGTGTACGCGAGGCTTGTGGGAGGCAAATTTTATTTAAGAGACCCACGCAACACCATTTTTGCATTAAAAGCAAACGATATATTTGCGGCTCCTCTGTTTTTCAGCTGGTGTATTGCGACGCGCCAAATATATGGCACATTACGTCACGATTATAGTAACGCGTCCTTATATAGTCGCCCGAGTTAATTGAAAAAACCGCGTGTGTAAGTGCTCGCGAGCATAAAAAAAAAAAAAAAAAAAAAAACAGTCTCTCTCTCGAAAGTTATAAACAAGCAGCCGGCAGCTCCTCTATCTTATGAAATATTCATGAGCCGTCGCAGCCGCCGGCAGCGGTAAATTTGCAGTTTAACGACGGAGAAAGAAAAGAAAAATAAAACACCAGTTCTCCTGAAAAAACAAAAATAAAACAAAATAAATAAAAAAGACAAAACAACGGAATGAGGTCCGCCAAA